GCGACTCTACTTACGACAACCCTACGTGTTATACGTAGTTTTTCGTAAAGAAATTATTTTTCTTACTGGTTAGATTGAATGCCCTGAAATACTTTAACTATGGGTATTTGGGATCTGCCTGCAAGTCAAAAAGAAAAAGGATGCTGTGAATTGTTGCAGGGATATGGAATTATACCGAACGAACGTACTTGTAAAAATTCTCATAAAATGAAACTGTATTTTGGAAAGCAAATCTTCTGGAAATGTAATGTCGAAAAGTGCAATCAACATTTGGGTGTGAGAGCCGGAAATTGGTTTGAAGGTAGCCGAATTTCATTTGTGACAGCGGTGCGCTTCATTTATTGTTGGTGTAAAGAGTTAACCTCAATTAAATTTTGTGCAGAAGAGATGGGAATTGCTGACAAAACTGTTATAGACAAGCTCAAGCTGTTAATGGCGAAGACGGTTTTCAATCAGTGCTAAAAGCAATAGCCAAAAGATTTCCGCCGAAAAAATAATTCTGCAACTTATTCAAATTCGAAACCGGAATGGTTTAATTGCTATTTTATATTTTAAAACAAAATAATATAAAAAACTGTATTAAAAATTATCTGTAATTAATAAATGTACATTTTCTTTCTATTCATACTTTTTTACTCAAACTTACAAATCGCGCCAACCTGGTTGCGATAATACGTAAGTACCAACAGATGAAACTAGATTTGGCTAATCTTTGGAATATGGTAACAGGTAGTTTGGCGACATTTTGGTAAGGCGATAAAGGTTACTAGCTAGGACTTTAGCAGTGTACATGGATAAAGTCAAGAGTGTGCGCAATGCCATTTTTGTGCAATTCTGGGATGTTTTTTTAAGTGAAAATAGGTCGACGTGTACATGGATACCGTGTATGTGCAATTCTTAAAAACGTGGCAAGCAGTTGGCGATTCTGCACTTTCTCCCAATTTTGCACCTAATCTTCGTTATGATTAAGCACTTTTGTTCCATAAAAGTTCTAGCATCAGCGTAATTCGGCTAGCAGATTGTTGGGGAAAAATGTTGAGTAAAAAAGAAAAGTGCCTTTACTTCGTGAAAACAAAATGGCGTCCAAAAAAAAACTAGCAGGTTGCTGTAGCAGAGTTGGTCGCCAAATTTTCGCCAAGTTACCATAATCCGAAGATTAACCCTGGATTTCATTACAAAACATTACCAAAATACACGTGATTATTTAAAACTGAAACAGTAGTTGGTTTAAAAAACTGGAATCATAAATAACTGTATTATTAACGTGCAATATGGACCCAACAATTTAGAACACAGCACTAGTTATTAACAATAGTAGAAATCTTCATATTTGAAAGGAGATATGAATTTACTTTTAACTTTACATAGCAACAAGAACTCATGAAAGGCAAACAGTATCTTTATCCATTTCCTTTTTGAAATGGGACAGAACTGCAAAATAAAAAAAAACAGCTTTACCGATCAGATAACTGTGAGGTACACAGCCCTGTAACGTCTTCCTGAAAAACATCTATTCACAAAAAACATCTCTTCCTTCATATGCAACTTCAATCTTTAAATATTATAAATATATAAAATTATAAAAGCTTTAAAATGTCATTACAGAAGAGACATTTGGGGTATTATTAAAGCTTTCGGCTGATCTTTGGAATATGGTAACTGGTAGTTTGTCAACATTTTGGAGGCGATAAAGGTTACTACCTAGGACTTTGGTTATAATGTGAGAAGTACCGAGTTCCGATTATGCATTATTTTGTGTGAGGGAAATGAGAGATCATGAGATATGTCATGTGACATTAATGGACGAATTACAGTTCTTTAATCGGAAAAGGGGGGAAATCGGGAAAAAATCTGGAAATTTTGTATTTAACTTTATTCTGTGTTGTGTGAAACAGTGTTGGCTAATTTTTGGATCCCATGGCACTAACTAAAGTGAATTCGAAATGGGTATTTAGTGGGATTGAAAGTGGTAGTAATAAGTGTTTTTTTAAGGTTGTGCGAGATAGAAGTAAAGATGTTTTATTAAGTTATTTATTTTACCTGGTACCTTGCTGTGAACTATAAGCATGATTTTAAAGATCCTGAAACAGGCGCACATACGCTTGCTTTTTATTTAGCAGAGGAAATAAGAAAAGTTTATTGGCCACATAATCAAGATTCTGAAGAAGATTAGGTAAGTTAGTATTTTTAATTATTTGAGGATATTATTTTTATGCATTGTTCTAAATGTAAGGAGTCAATAAAATAATATGGTATTATTGGAAAATTGTTATGAGCAATGATTTTTATATTTTAAGTAGTGTTTTTGAATTTAATTATATTTTAATTAAATGATAGTTATTTTGTGAATTATATGTTTGTAGGAATTTGGTATACGTTTCAGTGGAAGTAAATGTGCATGGAAATAATTTAAATATTTGACACTAAGTATTTGTAACCATTTGTAATGTTTGCGGTATGAATTCGTTGGTGACGTTTATAATATAATAGATAATTTGGAGGTAAAAGTTTTTGGATATTTTATTTATTTTATATGTGGAAATGTTCATCTTTGGAAAGGGTATATACTTTTTCACGATCAGGTAATTTCATATGTGTTCTTTTTACCGGATTTAAAGATTCACAAAATTTTCATGCATTTTCGTGAAATTTTTCTAATTTATGAGGAAAAAAGCAGTGTACATGGATATAGTGAAAAGTGCGCGCAATGCCATTTTGTGCAATTCTGGGATTTTTTTTAAGTAAAAATAAGTCGACGTGTACATGGTTTAGTGATATTTATATTAAATTATAGTTATTTTGTGAATTTTATGTTTGTAGGAATTTGGTATACGTTTCAGTTGAAGTAAACGTGCATGGAAATAATTTAAATATTTAACACTAAGTATTTGTAACCATTTGTAATGTTTGCGGTATGAATTCGTTGGTGACGTTTATAATATAATAGATAATTTAGAGATAAAAGTTTTTGGATATTTTATTTATTTTATACGTGGAAATGTTCATCCTTGGAAGAGATCAGGTAATTTTATATATGTGCTTTTTACCGAGTTTAAAAATTCACAGAATGTTTTTGCATTTTCGTGCAAATTTTTGTAATTTATGAGAAAATAGCAGTGTAGATGGATAAAGTTAAGTGTGTGTGCAATGCCATTTTTGTGCAATTCTGGGGTGTTTTTTTAAGTAAAAATAAGTCGACGTGTAAATGGTTTTGTGTATGTGCTATCTGAAAAACACGCAAGGAGTTTGCGATTGTGCACTTTTTTCCCAATTTTGCAGTTAATATTTGTCATGATTAAGCAGTTTTTGTTACATAAAATTTTCTAGCATAAGTGTAATTCGGCTAGTAGATTGTTGGAAAAAGTGTTCAGTAAATAAAAAGAAAAGAAACATGTCTTTACTTCGTGAAGACAAAATGACGGCGAAAAAAAAATAGAGGGTTGCTGCAGCAGAGTTGGTCCCCAAATTTTCGCCAAAAAATTGCCAAGTTACCATAATCCAAAGATCAACCACCAAGCTTTCAAGTATAAGAGAAAAAATTTTGGGGAAATAATGAACAGAATTTAATTTTGAGGAAAAGAAGTGGTCTTGTGACTTGGAAGGATATAAATATATCAATATCTCTGCTAGAGGCCATGAATATAATCAATCGAGGGGGTTCATCTCTTAAAAATTCTTTTCAAAAAGGCGATTTTTATGTAGAAAAAGCAACTTAGCTGATTGAACATACTATTTAATATAATTAAATTCAGGTTGAGAGAAAAGCATGATGTTAAGCATATGTAAGTAATGATGAGAATAAACTCAATAGCACAACAGCCCTTAGTGAGCCATGGATTGCAGTGTCCTGATGTCAGCTTTCTTGATCGTGGGCCCCAGGTTGCATGAGCATATATCCTGGACAAGTGGTCAGCTTGTTGCAAAATCCATGGCGTTTAGTCCCCAAGTGAATTTGGTATTTATTTTATCGACCCACTCAAGAGACGAAAGGCAGAGTCAATCTTGCCTAGCACGGGTATCGAACCCAAGACCTATGGTGCTGCACAAAACATTACCAAAATATATATAATTATTTAAAAATCATACGGCAGAACAGACATGTTCAGCACAACCCGATAACCTCCCAGAGGTGGGAGTTCTGCCCCCTTGCACCACTAAGCCTCCCAGAGATTAGCATAAAAAAACTAAAATGTTAGCACTGAAATATATTTTTAATTAATTCTATTACTATAAAAGGGTTTTTAAAAACTTGTACACTTTTATCTAGGGGAAATGTGCAGAATCACCCACAGCTTAGAACATTTTTAAGAACTGCATATACTCGGTATCCATGCACACATCGACTTATTTTCACTTAAAAAAAAAATCCAAGAATTGCACAAAAATAGCATTGAGCACTCCCTTGACCTTACCCATGTACACATCGACCTATTTTCACTTAAAAAAGTCAAAAGAAAATTGATAAAAATCCAATTCTTCTTACTCTTGTAAAAAGCGCCAAACAAATAAGTGGACGATTCTGCACTTTACCGGAATTATGATCGCCATTGTTAATGGTGTTTACATTTACCGGGTTCTTTGCGGAAGTGCTTCCCAGAAATGTTATCAAAACAAATAAATAAATAGAGGTTTTTTTTTATTTGATTCCTGTAACATCAAAAATGCGTCATTATTTCATGAATCCCTATTTTACATTTTTAATTTTATAATTTCTACATGTCATCTTATTAAAGTGATGATCCGGTATCATCGAAGTTCCGACATACGCGGATCTCCGACTTTATTCTATTACTTTTCTACATCACTATGCATATCTTCATTCGGATACAATTAAGTGATTGAAATTACATATATAAAGCGGACAATCGGCTTAAAAATATGTTAACATATTTTATAATCCTTAAGCACAGCAACGCATACGGTACCGTAAACATATAAAATTTTATACACTAAATATACATAGCAATGAAAAATAAACAGAAGTTAGTACGAAATTTCACCTGCTTATTAAATTCCAATAAAATTTCCATAGCTTCCTTATCATCAGAAGTTTCTAACTTCTTCAAGACGGACTCGTCCATTTTCATTTTCTTAATGGATGAAATGTCAAATACCGATAACGATTAACCGTATCAAAAGCTTTTATTAAATTCTAGTCAATGCTTCCGTTTATAAGAGATTTAGTCGTGTCTACTAAAATACTTTTAAGCTTCTTTCTCATTAAATAAAAAGCCCAGACTTCTTAAGACTCATTTAGAAATGAACAAAGGCAAATGCTTGATCGAACAAATTCGATTTTCTTGAAAGGATTTCTAAATTCGCTGTTAGTCTATTCCCATGTAGCTTTCAAACATAATGGGATTCATTTATGTTTCTAGTTACCTGAAAACAGGTAAAAGTCCTAAATATCCTGAATTAAATAATAATACAGCAATATGTGCACCTAAAAGCAATGTATTCAGTCGGAGAAAAGTTTCTTTAGATAAAATAGTCCACAAAAGTTTATTAAAACACTCATTATTTTTCTGTGTCTCCCCATGTAGGCATTTTTATCCAACAAATTCTTCTCACACAATGAAGGATATGTTGCTTTTACAGTTTTACAGCTTTTATATTGTTTAATAATTAGAAAATAGCTGTTTATACTTATTGTTTACATTTTTATGTCCCTTTAAATACCAACTTCCGTCATACGAAACTTCACTTCCGGTTTATAATTTATAACATAACTTTGCTTCTAGGATTGTAAAACATTCCGAGCTCGGCCTACTTATCATGAACAACATTCTACAAATTAGAATATCCACTTAGTTTTCGCCTCTCATAGTCTATGGCTTTAGTTTGCTAGTTTTTCTCAACTTGGATGTCCTGCAGTCATTTTCCTCTTCTCAATTCCAATCCTCTTACTACCCAATCCTGACATTTCACCGTCATGCGTCCTTTGGGCCAATGTGTCAAAAGTCGGACACATTGGGTAAAAACAGCAATATCTCCGGCAAAAGTGATGATGAATCAATGAATGAATGAATTCCGAGCTGGGACAGCGTTCGAGCTAGACGTCTTATCGCTTCGCTGTCCGTGTCCTTGACGTTGCTACCATCCCGTTTCTGAACTGAGTTCATCGACCTCGCCTGAACGAGCTTTGTATTGCCTTTCGCTTTCGCCTCGCAAAAGTGTCGTCTTACCTCCACTGCTGCATCTTGTTACTTGATATCTTGTTACTGAACAAATAAATATATTAATTACTGAAGCAACGCCGTATTTGTATGATGTAACCGTTGCTCAGCAATGTAAGAAATTGTTTTAAGATGAGAATTCGGAGAAGCGTTGCGATCACCGACACAGGAGGTCTCACTTTTGTAGCGCTCCGGAAAATACGTAAATTTTTGAATAAATTCACATCTTCTGGAGTAAATATACTGTTTTCCTTTTCAGGATTGTCTTTTGTGCGGTAGGGAAGTTTTTACCCCGATTATTGTTGGCTGTTATACCTTACAACAGTGGATTTCATAGATCTGGAGTGATATTGAAACCAAGGTCGAGTATTTAGGCATTTAGGTCTGTTTCACCTCAGGTATACAACTGCTGTGAGTTTTGATCTGTGCAAATCTGTTCCGCCTATAAAGGCCATTCACGGTATGTAGATTATTAAGGTGCTACTGCACCTCGGCCGGGGGCGAGACATTAAAACAAGGCGCAATCAATCCGTGGCAAAGTCAAGCATTACATACGAAAATTAAGAAATTAGTACTTAGAAAATAAAATCATCAACGGTGAATTAAGGTGAATTACGGTAGTCTGAAGTATTCGGCCTATCGGCCTTTACTCGAAAAATTAGTATCCCTACTGGGCAGTCTTAGTGAAAATCTTAAACAGTACAATTTGTACAGTCGGTCACAAAAGAATTTGAACACCGGTACCCATTCAGAAAATTTACTTTTCCGTTGAGAAACAAAATGGTGGCTCGTGTCAATCTTGGTTCGATCAGAACACCAAAGGATGCCTGATGTCCATCCTGTCAAGGTGTCGAGAGAGAGAGAGAGAGAGACCACGAGCTATCTGAGTGAGCTGGGAAACAACATAACTGCTCAAGCGATCCAGGTTTGCAAGCAGAGAAAAACGCAAACCGTGGCTGCCGCCCGACTTGGTTGGCGAAAAGCGAAAAAGCAAAAGGGTCTCAAGAGTTTATCTTAGTTGGATGGGAAAACAAAAGGATGGCTCACGTCAAATTTGTCTAGGTGTAGGAAAAAATACATCTATCTGAGTGAGCTGGGAAACAAAATGACTGCTCAAGTGATCCAGGTTTGTACTCAAAGAGAATAAAAACAAACGGTCGCTACGCCCCGTCTCGGTTCAAGCAGAGAGAAAAAGAACAGAATCGTCTCACTCATCCATCTTAGTTGGATGAGAAAAAAACAAAAGGATGGCTCACGTCAAATATGGCTAGGTGTCGGAAAAAATACAACACGACCTATCTAAGTGAGCTGGGAAACAAAATGACTGCTCAAGTGATCCAGGTTTGCGCTCAGAGAAAGAACGCAGACGGTCGCTACGTCCCGTCTCGGTTATCGTCCCCCCCATCCATCTTAGTTGGATGAGAAAAACAACAAAAGGATAACCCATGTCAAATTCGGCTAGGTGTAGGGGAAAAAAATACAATACGACCTATCTGAGTGAGCTGGGAAACAAAATTGTTGCTCAAGTGATCCAGGTTTGCGCTCAGAGGAAAAAATAAAAAAAATCCCAAACGGTCCTTATGCCACCCCGTCTCGGTTCGCGAAGAGAGAAAGAGCACAATGGTCTCATTTATCCCTCTTAGTTCGATGGGGAAAATAAAAGGGTAGCTCAAGTGAAAATTTGTCTAGGTGTAGGGGAAAAAAAAATACAACATGACCTATCTGGGTGAGATGGGAAAACAAAATGACTGATCAAACGGTCTCTGCGTCCCATCTTGGCCCGCATAGAGAGAAAGAACACAACACTCTCCTCAGAAAGTCTTCATTGGATAGGAAACAAAACAGCTGCTCCCACCATCAGGGTTTGAACACGAAATGCTGTCAAAAAAAAACAAAATTTCAGATTTGCTTTCAAAAGCTAAGCAGCAAAAAAAGCTACGAGAATCCAAAAGAGCTATGGGAATTTCCAGAAGGGGAGGGGCAGAAAATAGATATCCAGGTGAGTCCACAGCACGCACTGCACGGAAGGGAAACGGGAAAGACTTCCATAGATATAACAGAGAGTCCATTCTTAAAAAAAATAGAGGGATGTCTCTTCGATCGAGTCGGCTGTATCCAGGTGAGTCCACAGCACGCACTGCACGGAAGGGAAACGGGAAAGACTTCCATAGATCAGAGAGTCCATTCTTAAAAAAATAGAGGATGTCTCATTGATCGAGTCGGCTGGGGAAAAAAACATTCCTAACAGCTGAGAAAAATGTTCCCATACCTTCATAATGGATCTTTTCCAGGAAAAAGCAGTGTGTATCCAGGTCGAATCCACAGCACAGACTGATTGGAAGGCGAAACGCACAGACTGATTGGAAACGAAATACGAAAAAGAAACATCCAGCTCATCTTAATTTCCGAAATGGTAAGAGATTCTCAAAGATCGTGGCTTCCAGATTTAGGTAGAGAGAGAGAGACATGTTGCATCTCCAACAGCCCACTCTGTTCTGAACAAAAATGAGTAATGCTTTTATAGAAAAGAGAAGAATTGAAAGTGAAAGTGAAAAAACGAAATCGGATCGGCTGGGAAAAAATTTCTCTGGCTCAGATTTAAAAAAAAAAAACTTTTTGTTAATTTTTATGATGTCTTTAGACATCATAAAAATTAACTTTAATTAAATAATTTTTATGATTAATTTTTATAATTTATTTTTGATTAACTTTAAAATTAACTACATACCCTTTTTGTTTAGAATGATGTCTCATTCTTTCTAAAAATAGATACTCATCCTTTCTAAAAATAGAATTCCAAGAAAAACAATGAGCTATTTTTAGAAAGGATGAGACATCATTCCCAGACAAAAGGGGGGAAATCGTTTTAATGATGTCTAAAGACATCATTAAAATTAACAAAAAGTTTTTTTTTAATAACTCAGCCAGCCGGAATTTTTTTCCAACCCTCAGAAATTTTTTCCCAGCCGACTCGATTTTCGATTGGCAAGACAATAGTCAAAATTCTTTCTAGAAAGAATTCACACTTATATATTTAAAGCCACTCGCGTTTCGACTTCCAGATCAGTCTGTGCTGGGGATTCGAACCTAGGATACACGCTACTCTCTCCTGGGAAAAAAGCTTCTGTGGAGGTATGGGAAACATTGCTTCTTCTTGGGAGGTGTTTTCATTGGACGGATGGCTCTCTTTCTCTACCCGAATCTGGAACCCATGATGTTTTTTTTTTCAAGACGAATTCTCTGAGAATTTCTTACCATTTCGGAACCTTAGAGATCAGCTGGATGTTTCTTTTTCGTATTTCGAAGCTATTTATTGATCAAAGAAGGAGATTCCAAAGAAATGACTTACCAATTTTGAAAATGTTACCCTTTGAATATTTTGGGGGGGGGGGACTCTATCCTTTGAGTCGATACTAGAACGCCCTGAGTGCCGACTTCACTCAAGTGATTTTCGTTCGGCAGATCTCATTTTTCCTCCGTTTGAGAGCTACGAGTCCAAATTTTTACAATTCGCTTATACAGCTACGAGGATCCTAAGTTTAACTAATGTTTGATCTGAAGCGGAATGTCTGTATACATCACGCTGAGAGACCTATTTCTAAAGGATCTCAGAGAAAAAAATTCAAATGTGTCGTCTAAAGCAGGCTCATGTTGAGAAAGATGAGAGATCGAACAACAACTCTCCATTGTGTTTAGTGGACGATCCGTTATTCACCCGTAGACAAATAGGAATGCTCTAAACTTTCTTCTACCTCAACGGTGTTATTTGAAATGAATAGGACAAACAAATCGTCACTAAGAGACCTATTTCTAAAGGATCTCAGAGAAAAAAATTGAAACGTGTCGTCTAAAGCAGGCTCATGTTGAGAGAAATAGAATTCCAAGAAAAACAATGAGCTATTTTTAGAAAGGATGAGACGTCATTCTCTGACA